CGAGGATGCTGCCGGACGCAGCTGGGGCATCTAGCAGGCTGGAGCCAAGGGAACGCGGTTTCTGGGCGGCGCCAGAGCCGGGAGGGGCGCGGTCTCTGCCCTGGCTTCCCTCCTCCATACACACCCCACGGGCTAAGGCGGCCACGTCCCGCTACCCCAGGGGGGAGACTGCGCCCGGGTGTGTCCTCAGAGTCCCCAGACATGAATGAGGTGAAGAACCGGAAGAGGTCAGGGCCCAAGGGAGCCCCCGCGGAGCCCGGGAAGCGGAGCAACGGAGGGAAGAGCCCCGAGGCCCGGGGCGGTGGTGGCGGGAGTTGGGCCGACCCCCGCACGGGCTTGAGCCTGCTGTCGCTGGGAACCTGCCTGGGCCTGGCCTGGTAAGTGGACGCCCGGGGGCCCCGAGATCGCCCCCTCTTCTGGACCCTGTCCCTGCCCCGACCCCACCCGCCCGGCCTCGCGCCATACCTGCCAGCCGCAGACTTGCCACTTCTGTTTTTCGGCCTGGACCCCAAAGAAGGGACAGTCCCACTCTTGGGGAGTTTTCTTCTTTCTTGCTTTAGCTGGTAGCAGGCCCCATCCCTAAGCTGGAATTGAAGCTCAAGTTTGGGAACCGGTTAGCAGCCATTTCTTAAGATGCAGATTCACCAAACTATTAAGCGCCTACTGCACATCTGAAGTTTGCACGTTGCTGCAGGCCGTTGCATGCTGTCCACTGAGCGTTTGTTGAGAACACATTTCCCCGTTAAGGCCTAACGGTGACTTTTGAAACCTTTAAAGAATTCATTACGATCTCAAAGCACCAAGCGTTAATGTTAATAGCAACGTCAGGGTTTCTCATAGTTTGATCAAGATGCAGCCTTATGAATTTAAAACCTTTCTTTCGGTTACAGGTTAAAATTTTGTAAAGGTATAAAGTTATAGACGTTCACTTAGAACTAAACACTTTTTAGATTAATAAAAAGGATATACTGGCATCATAGAAAAAAGACTAGAAATAACCTTAAAACCAACTTATTGATCTTATTTTCACCAATGTTTTCCTTAGGAATAGCCTTTGTTGTTTTCATAACACGACTCACCTTTAAATTACAATTTCCCTCAGTTTGTCACCAATAGGGAAGAAACTCATCTGCAACAGCAGACTTTCAGAAGCACTGTGGATGCCCTAGGGGCTGTTCAAGAACATTTTTGATGCTATTAAATTTTGTATTATACCTTACTGGTGACCCTTCCTGGATCAGATTTGTTGCAGTAGTGAACGCTGGTTCTTAAATGTTTTCTTTTTAAAAAAGTAATATGACACTTGTGTTAATGGACAAATTGTATTTTGATTTTAAGAATGCACTTCCCTGGTGGCTCAAGGGTTTAAGTCACACACTCTGAAGCTATCTGCAGCCACTACTGCAGCCAGGGGGTCAGGGAGGTGACCCACATGGCACAGCAGACCTCTCTTGTTTTGCCTGCTGCTCCCCTCAGCAGTGTATTTCAGTAGATCTGCCTGTTCTGCTCCCCACTCTGTCGCTGGTGAATCCTCTCACCCACCCCGGCACCTCTGACCTCTACCCCCCTTCTTGTATGTATAAATAAATTTTAAAAATAAAATAAACTTAAGTTTTGAATTCTATGACCTTTAGGTAAATTTTTAAAACTTTTTTGCTTTTGGCTGAAGGAGTTGTATGGACGAGGCAACAGCATACCGTCAGCCCAGTTTGGTGGCAAGTGCGATAATCTTGCCTTTTCCAGAATGGCTATGTGAGCCACAGTTTTTGGATGCAGGACTTTTGTTCCCCATGACAGCGGATCCCAGCTTTGTCATTATAATTGGTCGTGACACCTTCCACCAGTTTGGCTCCTTTGCCTTCTGAGTTAACCCTCATGAAAGCAACTGTACAAGGCTCCCTTGAACCTTCGGCCCCAGCCTAACCTTTCTCTTGGTGGTGCAGTAGGCCCTTCCGACACAGGGCCAGCAGGAAGTCAGCCAGCCTAACTGGAACTGATCGTGTGCCCTATCCATCAGCTGATCCTTCTTGTTTTCCACCAACATGGTTAGCCCTTGCTGGGAGGACAAGTGATGTCTTAGTGGGGACATTCCCTTTGCCAGCAACTTCTTCTCAGCCCAGGCCAACCATCTGCCTGGTCTTGTTTGGTCTCTGGTCTATCCTTATGGCAGTTTAAGAGCAGAGCAGCTGCCTTGCAGCCCAAGGCCTGGGTGAGCTGTTACTGGCAGGAGGCACTTGGAGCTGATTTTCTTGAGGACTGCTCTTAGTCCCTACAACCAGATGAAGTTGATAAAGTGAGTTCCCCTTCTGGCTGGGTGTGATTTCCCGCACCAGAATCTTTGCGCCCTTTCTCAAGCCAGACATTTACCACTTACTGGCCTCCCTCTCTCCACAAGGACAGGGACCAAGACCTCTTCCCCTTAGCCTTTTTTTCTTGGGCAGCTGCAGGAGAGAGCTTCAAAAAATTGTAATGGGAAAGTCATTCACTAATAGAACTTAGTAGGCAAAAAGATATTCTTTCTGGACTAATACAATTGATTTTAGTTCTTAAATGTATTAACTGTTAACTATCTGAAACATACATGAGATAATTTGCATCAACGTATGTTCACCTTTTCAATTGTTTAATTACTATTCTAGAAAAATAATAAAAAGGAATCTATAAAAGACAAGCAGAGTTGGAAAACAGGCACTTTAGTTTAGGAGCTACTGTGAGTGCCTACTATAAAGAGAAGTTACATTTGGTGGGGAAAGTTCACTTGAACAGAGCCTTCACAAAATAATAAAAACAGTGCACAGAATATTTCTAACATGGATAGAACTATTCATTTAATGTTATTAAAATAGTTAACTTTGGGCCCTCCCTGGTGGCGCAATGGGTTAAAGCATAGCACTAAGAAGCTTAAGCCACTTCTGAATAAGTTCGATTCCCGCCTGCCCCAGGAGGTTACCCACATGCTGTGGCAGACCTCTCCTGACCTGCCCACTGCTCCCCTCAGCAGTATACTTCATTGATCTGCCTGTTCTGCTCCCCACTCTGTCTCTGGTGAAGCTTCTCACTGCCCCTGAGCCTCTGGCCTGTTCCCCCAGTTCTGGGTGCACAAATAAATAAATCTTTAAAAAAAAAAAAGTTAACTTTTATGGCTTTTGTGGTTATATTTTGCCACAACATTTGAAGTATAAATATCTGGTCACTGCTTGTACCAAATACTTATTTGTGGTACATTTGGAAATAAAATTTATTCTGGTAAGACTTGTGTTTTTTTTTTTCCTAAAGATTTATATATTTATGCATACAGAACTGGGGTACAGGCCAGAGGTGCAGGGGTTGAGAGGATTCACCAGAGACAAAGTAGGGAGCAGAACAGGCAGATGCACTGAAATATAATGCTGAGGGGAGCAGCGGGCGGGTCAGGAAAGATCTGCCGCGCCATGTGGGTCATCTCCCTGACTAGGGATCGAACTCATGCCGCAGTGGCTGCAATAGCTTCATAGTGCTGTGCTTTTAACCTGTTGTGCCACCAGGGAGAAACTCTGGTAAAACATTTGCAAGAATGTCTCAAATTAAAAAAAAAAACTTGACACTTTAAAAAAAATAATAAACGGCCTCCCTAGTGACACAAGGGGTTAAGTTGCTATGAAGCTATCCACAGCCACTGCAGTACAAGTTTGACCCCCAGCTAGGGAGTTAATCCACATAGCACAGCAGACTTCTCCTCTCACCTGTTGCTCCCCTCAGTATTTCAGTAGATTTGCCTTTTCTGCTCCCTTCTCTGGTGAATCCTCTTACCCACCCCCACCCCCACCCTACCCCCACACTCCTGGCCTGCATCCCAGCTCTTGTATACATAAATAAATAATTATTTAATAAATAAATAAACTTGACATCTCAGAGTACTTAAAGGCATACTAGACTTACACCAAAACCATTGAGATCTTCCCCTATAGAAAAACATGGTTCAACATTAAAAGTTGGTCTACCACATCTTTATTTAATGCTTACTGTACTGACACAGTCCTGGTTGTTAAATACAACATCAAGCATGCCTATCCTTGTACTCCTAAACAAAACTTATCCACCTTTTCACACTTAAATTGGGGACAGCTGTGCGATTTGAACCCTTCCACTGCACAGAGAAGATTTCAAGCATCAACTGTATCTGTCTTCTGGATCCTTTAGTCTCTGGATCCTTGTTTGGAAAGTAAACAGGTAATGCATAACAAAAGTGTGGTACTTGAACATCTCTCTGTCCTAAACTTATGAGTGAAACAATGTTGGTGATAACAGTTGCCCGAAACTAAGTTTCTTCAATGTTAGTTTACATACCTCCTCTCTAAACTCCTAAAGAAAAATATCAGGTAAGAGGATTTATGAAAATTCTTAAATCTGCTTTTCAAAAATTCAGGTGTGAAGTTAAACACACAAAACCTTTCCAACTTGCTTAATTGCATAGAAATTTTGTCATTTGAAAGTTCTATTGTGGCCCTCCCTGGTGGCACAACGGATTAAAGCACAGCACTGTGAAAGTTCTATTGTGAAAATTTTTTAAAAGCTTTTTCTGGGAATTTCAATGGATTTTTAAATTGCCTTCATAAAAATTTTTCATTGCATTTATGATAATTAGCTACAGAAAATTAAAAGCTCTTTGAACAATTCAATTAACTCAGGGTTTTTGCTTATATAACTTTCTCTAAAAATCTTTTCTACTGCAAAATCTTTGCTAAGTTCATTTTCATCTTTTATTTTCTGTTGAAGGAGTTTTATCTAAAAGACCATTATCTTTAAATGCTCAGCCTCTTAAAAAATGGAATATGGTCAGTATTTTCCTGAACATTCAGAATTGTGCTGAATGAAGCTGTAGATAAGTAACTTGCATGGCAAAGATAAGTAACTTTCCCAAAGTGGTTGGTTATATAGCCAGTAAACTGCAAAAGCAAAGTTGCCCAGCCCCACGCTTTAAGCCATATGATATTCTGTGCCCTTCTTAATGGAAAAAGAAGTCAAGACCGACCCTAGAAATAGAAATACCTAGTCCGAAACTATTTATAATTCTCTTCTTTCTCCTACTAGAGACTGGCCCTTAACAGACCCTAATTTGTCTCTAAACTGAAGTAATCTGCTCCTTTTGAAACCTTGACTCAGTTTTGCCTTCAGCACACCTATCCTAAAGTTAGAACAGTGCAGAGATTAGCATGGCCCCTCCTGAGGATGCCATGCAAATTTGTGAAGTGTTCCATATTTGTCTGTGGCAGTTAGTTTTTTAAAGTCAGGTGTGTCTGGCAGAGGAAGAACAAGCCCAGAATACTGCTTTTTTCTAGTAAAATGTTCATTAATTCCCTGCTTGAACACTTCCAGCCCAACTGTCTGCATCAAAATGTGCAAACTTACTTCTGTTTGCTCAAATTTCACTTCGAAGTCATTCCTCTTAGAGGAGATTCACCACAAGACAGTGGCCCAGGGACAACTCACACTCCTGCTAATGCAGCCTCCCCATTTTTTTTTTCTCCATATCACTTTTACCATGTGGCTTGCTATTTTACTTTTTGGTATGTCTGTGTAGCTCCCCATTCAAACATAAATCCTATGAGGACAATCTACCTGGAAACAACTTGACCAAAAACCTGTCACAGAATTTTGAGACCCAAGAAAGCAAAGTTTAATGAGAAAAGAAGAAAAGCCTTGACTAAAACAAAGCACCGTTGAAGCCAGGAAGCCAATTTCAAACTCTTCAAAATCAAAACTACCTTCACTCAGTATACATTTCTGACTCATAAAACCACTTTTCATTACCAAGTCAGTTTTATGCTTGCTTTTTCTTATGTATGCTATTCATGTGTAGCAGTGATGAAACTTTTATTTTGGTGCAAATCTAACCATTAAAAAAAACGTACAAGTTATCAGATGATATCTGTACTAATGCAACAGTTTTCTTCAAGTTTTTCTTAATATTTAAATTTGTTCAAGGGTCAGACATTGATATTAAAATTTTTATTAAAATCAAAAGCCTATATTCAACATCACTCGCAATAAGGGAGATGCAAATTAAAACCACAATGAGATACCACCTCACCCCAGTGAGAATGGCACATCTTCAAAAAACTAGCAACAACAAATGTTGGCGAGGATGTGGTGAAAAAGGAACTCTCCTGCACTGCTGGTGGGAATGCAAACTAGTACAACCACTATGGAAAACTGTTTGGAGGTTCCTCAAACTGCTAAACATGGAGCTTCCTTACGACCCAGCAATCCCACTCCTAGGTATCTACCCAAAAGACACAAAAATACTGATTGAAAAAGATACCTGTACCCCCATGTTTATTGCTGCTATTTACAATTGGAAAAACATGGAAGCAGCCCAAATGCCCAAAAGTAGATGACTGGATAAAAAAGATGTGGTACATATATACAATGGAATATTACTCAGCAACCAAAAAAGAGAAACACATGTCTTGCAGCAACTTGGATGGAGCTGGAAAAGATCATGCTTAGTGAGATAAGCCAGAAAGAGAAAGAAAAATACCGGATGGTTTCACTCATAGCAGGAGTATAATGGACCAGGTGGAAAATAACAAAAATAATGAACAACCATATACCAGAGACATTTTGTGGGGGTGGAGTGGGGAATGGGATCAAAAATGGGGTGGGGGAGGGAAATGCACGGGATTATGGTGATGGCACATGGGTGACTTGGTGATGGGAAACCCGAGGGGATTACAATTGAGATGGAAAAAAAATGTATAAAAATGATGTAAAAATAAACTTTTGTAATAAAAAAAATTAATCCTTAAAAAAAAAATCAAAAGCCTATAATGTAATATTGCAGTGTGTCAACCTTCACACAAAGTCTCATAATAATGATTCTATTCTGAATAAACATTAAGATTTATAGAAAAAAGGTATAACATTGTCACTGAAATTAAATCTAGATAGGGTGGACTCTGTCTGCAAGTCTGAAGTCTATACTCTGAAAAGAACCTCTTAAAAGTCAAGAGTAAAACAGCCAATCAAAAAATAAAATTAAGTCATTCATCTTGGAAAATTAGGATAATGGTGTTTTCTCATAACCAGAAGTTTTAAAGTTCATATTAGCATACACAAGAAAAATTGATCTGTGCTAATTTTGTGGTCTGGAGTTACTTTACTCACTATTACCTCTTGGGATAGACCTTTGCCATCATCAAAAGGAATTTTTCCTTCCAACATTGTAAACATTTGTTTAAAAAGCAAAAGTCTGTCTTAGCTTTTGCTAACACAGCAGTTAGCCTAATGATGACATTTCTGAGTTTAAAACATAACCCCTTTACAATGAAGCACAAAGCTCAGAAGCTTTTCACATCTCCACTGAGCCTAGGGATCTTAACATGTCTTTTCAGGAAAAGTCATCTTCACAAAACAGTGCCAATTAATAGCTTTCAACCTGCCTGCGCACACAGATAATCTGGAGAGCTTTCAAACTTTCCAATAGTCAAGTCACATCCCAAACCAACAAGTCAGAGTCTTGGAAAAGACTATGGTGTAAAACAAAGAAGATATTAGGGCCCTCCCTGTTTTGGGGTTCTCTGTTCAACAGGAACATAACTGTTCAAAGTAGTTCATCATTTCTTTTTTTTTTAATTTATTCATCCATGCACACAAGGATTAGGGTACATGCCAAAGGTGTGAGGGGTGAGAGTAATCACCAGACAGAATGAGGAGCAGAACAGGCAGACAGATCCACTGAAAGTGAGGAGCTACAGATGAGACAGGAGAGGTCTGCCACGCAATGTGGGTCACCTCCCTGGCTGGGGATTGAACTCGTGCTACAATGGTTGCAGACAGCCTCATAGTGCTGCACTTAACCCATTGCACTACCAGCGCAGTCCAATTCATCATTTCTTCCTCAAAAATATTTCTTTTACATACAAGTATAGTGGCTACCACATCATCTCACTAGGCTGTGAGCTTGTGCAGGAGCTGTGTTGCTCTTTGCCTAAGCAGAACAGTTAATACTCTGTGTAGACAACCGCACAACCACCCCTTTAATGTTGACATAAATTCATATAAACTGCCGTTTCCCGTAACCAGAATTGTTGTGGTCCTTACCACAAGTGGGTATAAAATTCTTTCAAGTTCAGCCTTACCTGTATGTGAATTAAGAGATAATGATTTTTCTTCTTCCTCTTCCAGGTTTGTATTTCAGCAGTCGGAAAAATTTGCAAAGGTGGAAAGGCAATACCAGTTGCTGAAAATAGAAAGCAATGAGTTCCAAGGACTTCAAAGTAAAATCAACTTGATTTCAGAAAAGGTAACCATTAGTTGACTTATGTGGGAGGTTTTCCCATTTTTCTCTTTCTCACTACCACACTTCTATCCCAATCTATAATTTCTTCCTGCTTTCAGACCACTACTTTTTTTTATTTTTAACTTTCACTGGTCTTTCTTCCTCTTCATAGTCTAATTTCCATGTAGTTTAGACTCAGACTACATTTGAGAAAACAAGAACCCTTTTGTATAACAAATGTAGTTTAAAAAATACACTCCCATTGATGTGATTTGTTTTCTCGTTTGCTTTTAGATTCAGTACTTGGGGCAGTATTTGATTCTCCTCTCAGGTGTATCTGTAGTTCTCCCACCGCCACAGCATCTGTGATCTATCACCATAGTCCCTTATGCTCTTCCTCCGCTGCTCGGACTCTTTCCCCCACCCCTGCTGTGTGCCTCAAATCTACAGTCAGCTTGCAGGTTGTGTCTATTATAAGTATCAAATGTCTATAGCACTGAATGAGGATTGCTCTTTAGGTATAAAATTAGAATAGGAATAACACTTGTGGGACAAAGATTCACTGATTCTTTTTTTTCATTTACTTTCCCCTTGGTAAGCACATAGATATATACACACAAGAATAACTAACCTAAAAATAAATACTGTTTCATAGCCAAGTGAAAATTTAGTTCTGTGTCTATATTGTGGTTCTTCAAGCTGCACATGCTGGTTTTCACTCTATGCATTATCACTCTTATTCTTAGAAATGTGATGTGGTAAAAACAAGTTTGTGACCACTGCACCTCTCAGGAAGGGTCACCTGTAATCAGTAAGGCATCATGTTTGTTCATTTATTCACTGACTCAGACCCTCCCTGTGTCCTAAAGGTAGAGAAGCATTTGTGCTTGGCACCAGGGTAAGCGAGAATGTTATAAAAATAGAAATTAAATAGAGGATCCAAGTTTCTGTAGCCTCATGAACATAGAATCCCCAGAAGAAAGAAGCCATAGGTGAAAACTATACACCCTGCAGGCCAGGAGATTCTAAGCACAGGACCTCTGGGGAGGAGTTGGCATGCTGGCCTGGGGCCCTAGTTGGAATCTGGTGTAACTGTTTTGGGGTTCTCTGTTCAGAGGCAACAAGATTGAAAAATCAGCAGGAGATAGAGACTTCATATACCTAAAATGTGAAGAAAATCGTGTTAGCTTTTTAAATGAAACATTTGGTTGCAATTAAAATGCATTCTGAGGGCCTCCCTGGTGGCCACGGGTTAAGGCTCAGCACTACCGTCACAGTGGCCTGAGTTCCATTCCTGACCCCGGAGCTGACCCACATGGCGCAGCAGACTCTCCTGTCTCGCCTGGTGCTCCCTTCAGCAGTGTATTTCAGTCAGTCTGCTTGTTCTGTTCCCCCCTGTCTCTGGTGAGTCCTCTCGCCACCATTCCCCACACCTCTTGTATGGGTAAATAAATGTTTTAAAAAGGAAGTAACCAGAGCAGATATTAGATAATACTTCTAGACTATTTTGTGCTCTTGTGTCTGGTCCAGGTGCCCCCTAAGCATCTTCCCTTGTCGTAGAGCAGACAGCCCTGTCTTTCTCCCTAATTAAACTAAGCTGCTTAAGGTTAGAACTGTATTTTGTATAGTGTTATGTCTTCCTTGTGATCATTTCCAAGCCTTGCTGTATAGTCTCTAAGGTTGTCACCTCTGTGAGCATACACGAAATGAGGTCCACAGGCAGACTCTGTGCTCTAGATGCATGTGAGATCCCAGACACTTGCCCTAGTGCAGACACTCAGAACATGTGACTATTTGATGTGACTATTTGATGTGGACTGTCTCACTTAACTGAAGTTTTATTCATCTTGCCTATATGAATCTGATTCTGGTACCTTCTCCCAAAGAGTCCATACAACAAAGTGGGGGGGGTAGGGGGATGGGGAAAGAAACTCCAAAGAGAGCTGCACAATTTAGAAAAGGTAACAAATTTTATAACTAAGTTACAGTTTCTTGTAAAGCCAAATAACCTTGAAAATCACAACTTTCCATTGAAGGAAGACATGATACACTTCAGACTTCTTTAATATTATTTTTCTCCTGAATATGCCTCCATAAAATGTGCAAACATTTGTCACTATACATTTAGGTATATGTTTTTCTAATAATATAATCTGTTAATTTATTTAAAATGTTAACATAACTATTAAAGGAACGAATGTTTGTCATTATGATTCTGATATATTTGGGTAGACATCTTTTGAGTTGGCACGTGATTGTTAGTGTGTTTCCCTATGTGAAGTGTGACTGTTAAAATGTGTTTCCCTATATTAAGTAGCCTTGGGAATTGTTTTGTGTTGTAAATGCAGCTTGAGTCCACTGAAAGTATCCTGCAGGACGTTACATCATCGGTGTCTTTGGTGACCCAGTTTGAGCAGGAAGTATCTGGCCTCCAAAGTATCATGCATGGCATTCAAAATAGTGAAGAGATGCTCGCTCAGAAGATGCAGAGCCTTCAAGAGAAATTCCAGAATGTTACAAGTTTCTGGAAGAGAAGCCTAGAAGAAATGAATGCTAATACAGACATTTTCAAATCAGAATCTAAACACATACATTCTCAAGTTACTGTCCAAATTAACTCAGCTGAGCAAGGAATAAAATTGCTCACCGAAAGATTGAAAGATTTGGAAGATAGCACACTGCGAAATATCAGAACAGTAAAAAGACAGGAAGAAGAAGATCTTCAGCGAGTTGAGGAGCAGCTTGGCGCTGATACAAAAGCAGTTGAGAAGTTAGCAGAGAAGCAGCATGCTCTCCTTGCCAGAGACGAAGACCTGACGAATAAACTTGCTAACTATGAGCCCAAAGTTGAAGAATGCAAGACACATTTGCCAACAATTGAAAGTGCTATTCGCTCTGTTCTCAAAGTCTCTCAGGACCTAATAGGGACAGAAAAGAAAATGGAAGAGTTGACCACTCAGATGTTTAACATGGAAGATGATATGCTGAAAACAGTGTCTGAAATAATGGAGATGCAGAAAACCCTTGAAGGAATTCAGTATGATAATAGTATATTAAAGATGCAAAATGAACTGGATGTTCTGAAAGGAAAAGTTCATGATTTTATAGTATATTCAAGCACAAGAGAAAAGGGAGCTATAGAAGAATATAATCTAGAAAATAAAGAAATCCATGGTGATTTTTGAATTTACTACTTTGATTTTGATGACTGACACTACTACACATACATTTGAAGTGTTTTCATAAACTTTACTTTGACCTCCATTACGGGAAAGTCCACACAAATGATCCAGATGATCAAAACTTATATTTGTAAACACTAGCTAGTATTTCATTTTAACTATTTTAAATAAACTTTCTGAAACACATCTTTGCTTTTTTAAAGCAAAGTATCTAATATTTTAAAATATTTTTCTAATATCATTGGAAATCATTATGAGTTTCACCTCTGACATTGCACCCAAGTATGTTACTGTGTCTAGGAGCTACTGAGGAGTGTTGACCATTTCACTGAATGACTCCAGTTTGTTATTTGTCCAACCTTATGTCCATTTCTTATGCCTTTTCTGCCATCCAGGTTGGTGGTGATGTGTCTGTCTCACTTTAGAGCAGGCTAAAATCCAGACAACCAAGTTCATCAGAATCTTGTATAAAATGAAAAGTAATACACCTGAGGAAGAACCTAGGATGTTTTGCTATAAATACACACTTTTTTATAACTACAGTGTCTGGGAAATATTTTTATTTTTTGCTAAGGTTCTAAACTGAATTACAGTGAGAATGTTTAAAAAAAAAGGGTGAGGCCCTCCCTGGTGGTGCAACAGGTTAAAGCACAGCACTATGGAGCTCTCCGAAGCCACTGCAGTGAGTTCGATCCCCCGCCAAGGAGCAGACCCAAATGGTGCAGCAGACCTCTCCTGTCCTGCCCGCTGCACACTCTGTCTCTGGTGATTCCTCTCATCCCCCACACTTCTGGCCTGTGCCCCAGTTCTTATATGCATAAGTAAATAAACCTTTTTTTAAAAAAGTGATTAATTCTTATTGAAAGATTTTCCTGTGAACTAAGTGTATGTTTTCAAGTATGAACTTCTGGATTATCTTCGTATACCCTGAGTTTTTTTTTTTTTTTTTTTAATGGTTCTCACTGTGTACAGACCTGAATTTGCAAGATACATGACCTCTAGAGAAGGTATTCTTAGAATAAAAATACTCAACTAAGCCCTGCGGCCTATTTTAAAAAGGAAAAGGCAACATCATGACAAATGATAACTACTATGTAACTAAAATATGTCCTTTTAAAATTTTCCCAAATTAATTGCCAGCCAATTTTGCTTGACATTTGTGATTTTATCTATTCAAAATTAGATACAGTGTTAGAGTCACTAGTGGGAAGATATGGACATAGTAAGATGAGATCAGAAGTGTACAAAGTTGGAAAAGAACATAAGGCTTTTATTGATAAATTGATGCATCAAGAATGCCTAGGATTGATGTGGAAAATTGAGTTAACTACACATGGAAATTTTACTTGTTTGTTCTTACTAATAAGCCAATTGTAGTCCCAGTTCAGTGACATTAAACTCAATTTAAAAGCAGTCAAACACCAAGGACAGTTGTGGTCAGGTTATTATTTAAGTCAGCAGATTTGAGAATTCCAAATAAACTCTCCTTTGGCTTCCAAGGACCAATTGTAGAAAGACATGGGTCAGGATGAACTGAGGGACACTGCTCCGTGGGCCATACTTGCCATTTCCATGTGCACTGATGATATTGTATCTATTTGCTTCCGTTTTTATACTAATAAAATAGATTATTAAATTAACTTGAACTTTGTTGTTTCTACTTCCATCTTGTCAGGGAAGATGTGATTTCTTGTCCTCTACCCTTCTAATTATTTTTTTGACCTATCAGCAGACTTGATACAACTTCATTTACTTGTAAATAACACATCATAGTAGTTACAGAAAATGAATGGGAACAAGTAGGCCACTATATGTATTGTGACAATTGTAAGAGAAACATTTTCCATTCTGCAGGGTCATTTAACAATGCCGGTATTTTTCACCTATATCCCAGTCATTTTGTTTGTCACTTGACTTGCATTATCACTAATTCTCACCACAGCTTGGCCAATTTACAAATGAGGAGGTTGAGGTTCAACAAGATTGGGAATCTTGCGATCAGGCTGCTCGGTCTGTTCTACCAGAGGCCACTCACATCCACTATACAACTACAACCTGCTACTACTCAACCAGGGAGACGAAAAGAAATCTGCTACCAGCAGAACTCGCCTTAGAATTCAAAAGGCTGAGATTCAGCAAAGTGTGTCCACTGCCGTGTCACCATGAAACTACACCATGTGTAGTTAACTCAATTTTCCACATCAATCCTAGGCATTCTTGATACATCAATTTATCAATAAAAGCCTTATGTTCTTTTCCAACTTTGTACACTTCTGATCTCACTCAAAAACTATAACTGTGATCTAAAACAGCTGTGCCATGGGCATAGCAGGAATCTATAAATCTTTAAGGAAAGTGGGAAAACAGTTGGTGGAGAAAACCCTAGACTGGTTTTGTAATTTAGGCTTTACCACCAACTACATTCTTGGACATTTAATTTTTTTTTCAGTCTTTTTAACTTTTAAAGGGAGGGATTTATAACAAATAATCTCAAGATTTCTTCTGTTTTGGGGCCTTCCTGTTGGACAAGGGGTTGAGTCTTAGCACTATGAAGCTATTACAGCCACTACAGCACAAATTCTATCCCTGACCAGGAAAGTGACCCACATGGTGCAGCAGACCTCTCCTTTCTTGTCCCCTGCTCCCCTCAGCAGGGTATTTCAATCATTTTGTCTGTTCTGCTCAACACTCTGTTTCTGGTGAATCCTCTCACCACCACCACCACCCCCCCCACACACACATATCTCTGGCCTATTCCACAGCTCTTGGGGTAAGAAGATATGGACATAATAAAATGATATTAGGGGAAAGATGTAGCCAATTTTTTTCAGTGATGCAATCAGAAATGTGTGGAGTTGGGAAAAAATAAAAGGCTTTTACTGGTAAACTGGTGTATCAAGAATGTCTAGGATTGATGCAGCAATCAATAAATCTTTAAAAAAAAAAAAAAGATTTCACCGGATGGTTTCACTCATAGCAGGAGTGTAATGGACCAGGCAAGAAAATAACAAAAATAATGAACAACCATAGACCAGAGACATTTTGTGGGGGGTGGAGTGGGGAATGGGATCAAAAAGGGGGGGGGGGGGGGGAGGGAAATGCACGGGACTATGGTGGTGGCACAGGGGTGATTTGGTGATGGGAAACCCATGGGGATTACAATCGAGATGGAAAAAAAAATGTGCAAAATGATGTAAAAATAAACTTTGTAATAAAAAAAAAAGATTTCTTCTGTCTTTAACTGTATTAAAATTGTAGAGACCCATAAGCTATTTCCAGGAAAGGATCTTTGCACAGTTCAAAGATACTTTAGCAAAGTTTTTGAAAGGCCAACTGAAGCCAGAGGTCATTCCCTTGAGCCATTGTGGCCCCGCTTATAGATCCAGACAATTTTTAATATTACCAAAAAGGATCTAGCTTAGTATTTTGCATAAATAAGAACCTGCCAGATCTTTGGAACCACTAGTAATTTCCAATTCTTGTGTCCATCTTAGGCAAATAGCTTAAATAAGTCTTGATTTAAAAAAATTTTTTCAGTAGAACAATATCTAAATGACCACATTACTGAGTTTTATTTTAGTAAAGCTCAATAGAAGTTCATGAAAATTGCTCTTATAAGCTACCAAGTGAAACAAAGACACTTACTAGCATCTACTTAATCATCTAATCCTTGTAAGACTATTAAGCTCTTTTGAGGTATCTCAATTGTACAATGCTCCTAAGCTACATCGACTCTCCCAGAGATAACTTAAAAATAGTTGAAAGTCAGTCATTTACTCCTTTCACCCTTGGGAACCTCTGTTTCAGCAATACACTTTATTGCAAAACTTTCCCCTTAAAAATAAAGCATGATTTTGCAATCACTACTTGATTTCCTTCCTATTTGTGGCTACTGCTAATTCATATCCACAATAAGTTTCACAGTCTAACTTCACTATCATTTGGAAATCCTTTCTCACCAATAATTAGCACAGCATAAACCTATTAAGGAGAAAATCCTAAAATACAATTAAAAACAAATAATATAATAGGGTAAAGAGGAGGAGTTATAACTTTGAATTCACTCCCAAATTTCAGCTAGTTATTTTTTTTTTGCAACTTAAATAGTTAACTGCTTTTTAAAAGCTACTATAAAAATATTACCAGCGCTGTAAATTTTTATTTGTGTTAAGTAAAACTAAGTTAATGTTGCTAAAATCTCAGAAGTTCAGCTGAGTCAACTAGCAAATTAAATTTAAGAATGGTAATTCATAAAATGTATTTTAAAGACAACAATATACAATTGCTTTGAAAAAAAATTTGATGTTTTTATTTTTTCAGACATTTTGGTTTGGTAGTTTCTGTAAGTACTTTGCCAAATCACCTGCTGTATAAATATGCAATATTTGTCTCTGTCATTCTGACTTCCTTTACTACACATAATTCCTTTGATCTCCCATCATCTTGATGGCTTTATTTTTTTTTTTAAGATTTACTTAGTTATACATACAAGAACTGAGGTGTAGGCCAGAGATGCAGGGGAATGAAAGGATTCACCAGAGGCAGAGTGGGGAGCAGAAAAGGCAGATTGGCTGAAACACACTGCTGAGGAGAGCAGCAGGCAAGACAGGAGAGGTCTGCTGCACCATGTGGGTCAGCTCCCTGGCCAGGGATGGAACTCGTGCTGCATTGTGTAGCAATAGCTTTATAGTGCTGTCTCTAACTCTGCACCACCAGAAGCCCCATCTTGATGGCTTTAAATTAAGCTTCGTATCTTATTTGGTCAAAATGATTTTTTTGCCTGTATGTTTGATTTTTTTATTTCTAGTTTTCTGAATTTTATATATTGCATTTATTTTCTTTCCCAAATAAAACTACAAACTTCCTGAAAGCAAAGGCTGTTCTTAATCATATCAACACAGTATCAAATGTATTGACTCAAATTGATTTTACCAGTAGAAATCTATCGACAATCTTCACTTTAAAACAATGCCTTCCTAGAAAATGAGTTAAAAGTTAAATATACAGTGTAATCACAGTGGGCATTTGTTTTTGGACAAAGGCCATAACAATATATTTCCAACATTTTGCAGTTCTTCAATTATTTTTCTGTAGAGTTGAGCACATGTTTGATAGGTTTAAGTTAGCCTTCCCAAGGAAGTCTTATTATAGTCTCACCTGACAATTTCTACCTTTGTTTCAGTTTTATATTGTTTATGAAATTTAGCTGCCTTATCACTGTAATCAGTCCTTTAATTTTTCCTTTTCCTCTTCACTCTTAATTTTATTAACTGAGGGTACAGATTTTCAAAACCATGACAGAACAGCCAACTAATCCTAATGCTGTTATAAAAAAAAAAAAAACTCATATACCAGCAGCACTCAAAACAACCTGAAATACTGTCAAGCAATCATAGCTCAGGAAATGCATCGAATTAACCAAAATGACAATTTAGAAGAATCAGTATACAGTGGACAATGGAGAAGGACAGTAATGAAAGTAAGCAAAAATTAAGAACTACTTGTATTTGTATCACAGAATTTTAGAAACATGAGATAGAATTTGATTTGTGTTTTGGTTTTGTTTCTACATACCTGTCTTCTCTACTAAGCTATTAAATTGAGTTGAGGCCACAATGTTGTTAAGTTGCTTAACAACATCTAGGAACTCAATTTAATTTTTAAC